CTCGACGTCTCACAACCCTATGGGTCTTCACGGCCTGTTACATGGATAGCTCTACTTTTACTTTGCTTTAAATGATAAAGGCCATCCTTATGTTTGCTACAGTTCCGGCTTTTCATCTTTAATCCTGAAATTAGCATAACTCAGAGTAAGGACGCATTGTCTTTTTTTTTATTACTCCTATATGCTCGCGCACTCTTGTGCTACATAGTAGGGATACGTTTCACATTTCATTCTTCTTTTCAGCGTTCTACTGATCGGTTAGGCCATTGTCATTATTGCAATATATCATAGGCGGAATTCGTAAAACTAAAAACCCAGACTTTGATAATAAAGCAGATATTGAATGACTATAACTGTAGGCGATGCTGTGTAAACCGAAGGTAGAATATGGCAGTGTTTACAAACTTGATGTCTCGTGGTACTTCAAGTGCAGTTCATTACCTCTGCTGACACAGCTAAATGCAGTTACTCTGCTCTACACGTTTGTGCAGCCTAGAGTGATAGTATATACATATGTCATAATAAACATGAATAAAAACTGTTTTGGGTGGGATGTATTTGCTGAGGATCGTTACTATTGAACCGAGACATTTGGCACAAGCAGTAAAACTTCCAACTTGTATTCGGGAGACTGCTGGTTCAAAACTCTGCCGTAGTTACAGACTATTCTTACTCAGGTTTTCTGAGAATTTCTGCAATTCCTTTATACGAATGCCAGAATAGTGCCTCAAATTGGACTATAACTGTTTTCTTCCACATCCCTTCCAGTTCATTATCGCTAAGCGTCCTGTAATTCGACGCCATATACCGTATTTACGCATGTATAGGCCGCACATTTTTTGCCAAAAATTCAAGAGGAAAACTGGGGTGCGGCTTATATTCGAAATATTCGAAATCACACTTCATTTAAAAAAAATTATATTCATAATTAGTAATACAGGGTGTAATACTCCTGAAATAATATTCCAAGAAAATTATTTTTTTCTATAATTTCTGTCTGAAAATTGTGCTGCGGCCTACACACGCACGCGGCCTATACATGCGTAAATACGGTAATTATGTTTAAATATTTTGAACTTTCAAATATCGTTAATTTAGTAATTATAACTACTACCCCTGCACTAAGGGGGGCACGCGGTAGCGTAGTTGGTTGAGGCACTATGCTGCAATCCGGAAGGTCGCGGGTTCAAGTCCCGATGAGCTTACTGGATTTTTTTCAATTGCCCTAATTCTTCCAGCCATACTATAGCCCTGGGGTCCGACTCAGCCTCTAACAGAAATGAATACCAGGAAAATTCTTGGAAAATTCTTGAGGGTAAAGGACGGCCGGCTCGTAGGTCTGACAACCTTGTCGCCATCTACGAGCCGATTGTCTAGAAAATGTGGGAATCTCAACATCTCACAACCCTATGGGCCTCCACGGCCTGTTACAGGGATACCTTTGCTTTTTAATTTACCTGTATTAGGAGCAAGGATAGCGCAGTCGGTATAACGACTGCTATGGGCTGGATGACCGAGGGGTTGGAGTTAGAGTCCCTGTAGTTTCAAGAATTTTCTCTTCTCCACGTCGTTCAGACCGGCTCTGGGGCCCACCCAGCCTCCTATCTAATGGGTAAAGCGGCCGGACTGTGAAGCTGATCACTCATCTCCAGGTAGTGCCGAGGTCAAGAAAATGTGGATCTATACGTTCACTGCCCCATGCGTTTTCATGGCGTAGTGCTTAACTAGTTAAGTACAGTGTCAAATTTACCGTACTTCTTACTACCCCTGAATTAAAATAAAAACACCTTGTTGATATATGATCTACTACGCACTGAAACTGAAACGTGTTGCAAATTATGCTCGCTCATTTGGGGAAAATTCAATTTTTAACAGTTCGATTTCAATTTTTCTTAGATGAGAAAATGTTAACAAGGTTCATCAAGTACAGGGACAAAGATAAGACTAGTTCAGAAGACAAGAAAGATATTGTTATGGGGCTCTCTTATTATATTTTCCATTACAAGTGAATTTATATCTACTTATGTTTAATCTTGTCCCAAATTCACTAATTTTCTTCTTATTTTTCATGTAAACTCGGCTGTGTTAAACTGATTGGAAGAAGAAAGAAGAGCATTTGCTTCTCTAATGTGACGTCGGATAGTCAGATAGAAGCATACCGACGTTTCGAGGAAGATATATAAATGTATATAAAAGTATGAAGTCTACACAACAATATTCTGTATTTAAAAACAAAGTAGACACTATCGTATCAACATTTGTTTTTATTGACGCTACATGTTTCGACCCTTATACTGTGTCTACAATGATACTAGTCTCAGTTGTTGAATTGTATCTGACTATTTGCATCTAAAGTTTAAAAAATGATCCTTATTGTGCACTTGAAAGTTTTTAAATGCATAAATTGAATCTTTGAGTTAAAATTTAAAATAAAATTTATAAATTAAAGACTAAAGATTAAAACATAAAGACTTTGGTTTTAAATATAGAATATTGTTGTGTATACTGCATACTTGTATATACATTTATATACCTTATTTATAACTCACAACAGGATACATACTATTAAGATTGTTTTCGAGTAATGTACTACCTCAATCTTCACGGACAAAGAACAAGAAACTGAGCCAGTTAGCTTAATGGTAAAGTTATAGGTTTGTACTCTGCATATGTTCGTGTGAAATCTACCAAGGCAGCGACTATGCTGGGAATTTTTGTGATTTTTCTCATTGTCTTGAGCTGTATCTAGATCAGACCACGAAAACCCCCTTCCAAACCCTTTTCGTTTTCTTTGATCATCTGTCATCCCATTATTGAGTGCTATACAGTCTAGCTACTAACGGTGTCCTAAAATAACCACCAAAAGTAGTGAGTCAAGCAAGCAACAAGCAATTGCTTTCATTTTGCTTGCTTGGCTTATTCTTCGAGCCTGTAATGTAGATGATATTCTTCTCCGAAAAATCGAGAAGCTTCTACCAGATTTAACGGCTTCACATCGGAGTGCATAGTACTTATATCGGTCACTGTCATGAGAACCTCAAACCTAAAATTATAAAAACGCCCTTTATATGTCATAATATTAATTTTACCAATATAGCATACTGATTGTAAACGCAGAAGTTTAATCAAGTAATTTTTATCACTTGTTAGGGTATTGTAATTTCTTTTAAGCATTAATTAAATATTAAATTTATGATCAAGAAATTCCATTACTTTTGTTGAGTATCTAAATTGTCTGTTAATTGTATATTTATGAAGCAGGCTAAATCTTCATAAAATATATGTTCGTTTAGAGAACTCACACATGTCACGAAAAAAAAAGATGAAAGTCTGCGCAGTATTAATTATCATTAATTTAATGTACCAAATATTGACTTACCGAATAACATTGAACTTCGCATTGCGCGAATGCCATAAGTTCCAGCGTTGAAGATGAGATAATAACTTTCGTAAACTCGAAACTTTTGACACAACCAATTACAATGACAATGGAAAATGTCTGGAACCACATGCTTAATTACTCAGTAAATGTACGAATATAAAATTTAGTTAACTAATTACTATTGGACACCATCACAGATTCAGTGCGATTACTATCTCGAGTCTTGTTTTTATTTACTTGAATTTATAAATAATGTTCGAAAGGTATCAGTATTTCCAGCGAGTGCCATCGGCGACAAGGCAGCGTTCATACTTCCTGCGTAGAAATTTAAACCGATGACGCGGTGTGTGGAGCTGAGCGTTATATTATAATTACGATATGCGTTAATACAGGCGCTTGCAAATGAAACTGCCAGCACGCAGCTGCTCTACGTTTTCGACTGGCAGATTTCTTGCTGCCTTTTCACTGTATATATGTATATATACCGCGCGCGCGTGCTTCATGCCCATTGCGAACGTAGTACTAGGTGAGGGGTATGAGAGGGGTGGGAATGAAATAGACCATGTCAATCCTCTACATCATTTGTATAATGGTACATCATCCTTCTTGAGTCCTCACTTTCATTAACCTTCATCAGTAGACAAACATTTGTTTGGGAAGGACAGTATTCATTTTATAACACGTATTCCAAGGTATTTACGTTGTGTTTTAAGGTTTCCATCCTTATTCCCTTAATGATGAGATGCCATGAAATAAATTCACATTTATGCTTTCTCTGGTCAGATTAATTTACAAAATATATGTCTGGAGATGAAAGAACCAAACTATAAATCGACATTGTTTATAATTATGTGTAATTCTCTCTGTCTTCGGTTCTATAGCCATTTGGATCTTGGCCGCTTTTTCAGTTTTCTAATCTATACACAGTCGGTAGGACTCCTTAGAGTGGGGATCAGCCCTTCGAAAGGCCGCTACCTACACACAGAACAATACAAACACAGAATAAACGCACATAAATATCCATGCCTCGAGTGGGATTCGAATTCAAGATCCCAGCGTTCGAGCGAGAGAAGACAGTTCATGCCTTAGACCGCCCGGTCAGTGTGATCGGCGTTTAAATACAGTCAAGGTTAATTAGAAGACGTTTAAAAATGTCTGCCCCAAGTATGTACGATACTGACGTTGCTATTCCTTCTTAATTTTCAAACTCGGTGTTTTCGTGTTACCTGTCATAGGACGATTACAGTAAGGGGGGGGGGAGCAATTTGAATCTAAACTGCCGAAATGATTAATTCTATGAACACGATGTTAATATGAGAGGAAAAAGCGTAAATTTTCTGAAGGACAATGCAAGCAAAACACAAGCCCTATAACCTCAGTCGAAAATAAAACCATCATGTTACCATTTACGTGTAGCTTTGAAACCAGGCCACCGTACATGGCACTCATCACGTACATGTCTCTCTCAAACAAAATGGACACTACACATCATATCTTTGTAAGCGTACTGCTTTACTTTCTTTCAATTGTCGTATTTTTAAATCGAAATGAAAGTTCTTTATATCAGCGACCTTATATTAAATTCAGTTCATTAATAAATGATGTTAATACATAAGAAGTAGCAAAGCAACAAGTCGTTACTTAGGGCAGCGTATAAAGAAATATTTTCTTTTGTATCATTACTGTCACGTGTATGAATGTGACTATACACTGATTTTGGATTGATGACCAGATTAATTGGGCTCTTCGATACAGTTCGTAACTACATTTTACAGTTTACTATTATACATGCACTAGTGTTTAGACACACTTCTTCATTGCCGTTGCTTGGTAGCAGCTTTCAACGACAGATGTTCCCCTTCCTCTGGGTTCCCAAATTGTACCCGACCTCAGCTACCAGCTTCATAGAGCTCACATCGACCACGCCGCTTCCCGTTATTACCCTTGTTTCCGTGGAAACATGTTTGTTTGTGAAACCGTTACTTAGCAACGGCTGTTGTATAGTTACTTATTTCTCTGTCGTTGCCTAGCATTCGGTCTTCATGCCATATTATTTATAAGTGTTTCATAATTAAGAACATATTTAATACTTGCTTTTGTTCAATTTTTCTTGGTGATAGTATTTACTTTCTAATATTCCCTGTGGTTATATATTTATTTAACGAGACTGTCAGTAGCTCTTCGCCGACAAGCGGCGTTCGCTCGGCCGGTATAGTTCACTTGCGGACTAAAACCACGGAATTTTGTTGTTGTTGTTGTTGTTGTTGTTGTTGTCGTCGTAAATTATTGATCATACTGTGCTACGTATGTAGCTTCTAGTGATAAGATGATTAGTGAACAATGAGTTCGAAACTGTGTGGAAGGAAAGTAGAGGGACTGGGGCAATAACACGAAAAACCTCAGAGAGGTTATCCGGTTTTTAGGCCGACATTTAAATCCGGTACTCCGGAATACGAAACAGAAATTTTAGCGCCTCTACCTCGACCTTAGATTCCCTGAAATTGAATTTTGTATTTAATTGACAATGAAAAACAAAACATAGTACAGACTTGCAGTTGCATTTCGTAACTATAAATTGAACTTTTTCAGCCAGGTATGTTATATTTGGAAGGTAAGGCATTACGACATTAGACTTGTGTAAATAAATGTTGTTTATAAGCATTATAACTTATGATTTAACTCCAGTTTTTACAGGAAAATGTGAGTGGGTCTGGTGACCGCGAGATTGGTCGGAAATCTTGAAAGAAAGGAACCACTTGAAGGGTCTAGGCGTAGATGAGAAATCCTGAAGAAATATGGTGGAAGGATGTGGACTGAGTTCTTCCGGACTAGAAGAGAGGCCAGTGTCAAGCTGTTGTGTACACGGTAGTGAACCTTCCATATAAGGCTTGGAATTCTTTAACTGGTTGAGCAACTATTAGTTTCTGAAAGAAAGGATTCTGTTTTCCGGAGTGCAATTATACTTTTAATGAGATAATGTTAAAGACTGAACATTTCAGGAAAAAATATGTAGTGCTGATTGACCATTTGCTCAGCATCTTTGCAGCTGATGGCATGCTTGGAGAAGGAACAAATAACACTTAATTTAATCGGTTATTTTCACGTTCTTCTTAAATATTGTGCTCTATTATTAAGGCATGGAAACTAATACAATATCTTTACTTAATTTACCCAAGTTAAAGGAGTCATATTTCAAGTTTTAATAGAGAAACGGCAGTGAAGATCTGTGAATACTTGATTGATTCAACCAAGATAAGGATAGAAGGAAGGAACACCGGCTCTGTTGAAACTTGCCACCTTGAATCTAGATTACACAGCAGCGAGGTCAGGATGTAAGCCATTAATATTCATACAAGGCAAGCTTCAGTCAGGTCAATGTTCGGAATACAAGTTTTCGCGTTATGTGGTTTATACATGATTTCAGAGGTGATAATATGAGAACAGAAATGGGAAAACAAAGTTGCAAAACACACTGTTTGTAGAATTATCCCTTTTTTTTTTTAAATTATTGATTGAAATATATATCAGAAGTATCTGTAGATTTCCGTGGATACTGTAAGAGCAGAAAGTAGCATGTCTTTCGTTTCGTACGTAGTACAAGCAGTGTGTGAAAGTAATAGAACTCTTCATATTAAGACGTTAAAGGAAACAGGCCCATACGATATTGTTGCATTCTTCTGCTATCAATACTATTATACATATTTAAAAAGAAACACATGGGTGATGCAAGTCTAGCATTCGCCGGAGTGAATGGAAACAGTGGAAGTAATTGTGAGATTGTTCGCTATGTTCACAAGAGCCCTCCACTGGTCCCAATCCTGAGCCAGATCAGTCCAATCCAATCTATACCATCCTATCTCACTAGGATACATTTTAATATTGTCCACCCACCTACACCTTCGTCTTCCCGGTAGTCTCTTTCCTTCTGGCGTTCCCACTAATAACCTATATGCATTCCTCGCCTCCCCATTCGTGCTACATGCCCTGCCAACCTCCTCCTCCTCGACTAGTGATATTGAACACAGTTCAAAAATGGAAATAGGTTGGTGGGGAAATGAATACTTCGAACTGTGTTCAATATCACTAGTTGAGAATGAGGTTGGCAGGGCATGTAGCACGAATGGGGAGGCGAGGAATGCATATAGATTATTAGTGGGAACGCCAGAAGGAAAAAGAGACTGCAGTACAAGAGAGCTAAAAGTATTTATTGCTAGTAGCGAAAAAAGCATTTTGAGGGGGGCGAGGGGGAGCACTCAAAATAGTTGCTAAGGTAGCATACCTTCTTACCGATTGTGCTCTCGGCCCTGGAGGTCATTTTTAATTTAGTCATGTAAGCTGAACATAGATGGCAGCAGCGTTTCACCGAGGTGTCATGGCGGCCATGTTGCTAACCAATAACATGGGAGTTTCACGGGGCTTGGTGTGAATGTATGTGTTGTCTTCATTAGGTTGTGGGTTCCTTAGAAATGTATCTCTGCTAGTTATGTATTAGTTACAGTAGTATTTGGCGTCATTTCCTGTAAATTGTATCTTATGGTAAGTGATGCACATTCTTTATTTATTTCGTCTCTATAGATCATTGTTACATCAGGTACTGTATATTGGCTGATTACAAGAAGAGAATAAAGTTACAATTCTAACAATTGTTTACAGTAGATTATTGGATTACAATAGTTAAAAGAGTTCGTATAGTGTGAGGTGGAATCTATATTAGGTCCCCTCAGTACGTCGGCTTCCATATGTCCTATTGTAGCTGTACTGGTGATAATGCTTATGGAGAATTTGATTGAATGAGGATTGGCAGGGGAAACCGAAGTACTCGTGGGAAACCTGCCCCAGCGCCACTTTGTCCATCACAAATCCCACTTGACTAGACCCCAGCAGTGGGAAGCCAGCGACTAACCGCTTAAGCTATGGTGCGGCCTTTGAGATAATATTGGTGAATTTGGTGATAGCACTGGTATAACGTTTCTCTGTAGACTCTACACTGCAACATCTCATTACATCTGTTCACCCTTCCTGGTGCAGCTTCTTGGTATCTGCAGTCTCTCCAGAGTAGCCCATTCAGGTACATCTCCGACTGTGTTCATCTTGGTTGCTGGAAAGAAGAAAGGAAAACTGTGCAGTAGGGATTCCCAAAACCGATTATTCATGAATTATGTGATTATGCTTGATTAGTGTTTGTCTCACATGAGAGAAACTGATCCATTTTCTTTCATTATTTCTCTATACATTTAATAATCGTTTTTAAAAATGAGTACTGAACCTTCAAGTATGGAGTAAAGGTGAAGTTTTCACTGTGCTTAACTAATTAAGTACTACGCCATGAAGACATATGGGGAAATGGATGTATAGATCCATGTATTCTTGACGGTGTCACTAGTTGGAGGTGAGTGCTCAGCTTCACGCTGTGGTTGCTTAGCCTCCAGGGAAAGAGCTCCCAGTACCCATTTGATACGATGTTGGGTTGGCCCCAGAGCCAATCTGAACGACGTGGAGAGGAGAAAAATCCAGCCCCTATTAGTACTCGGAACACCTTCTCTTCGGCCATCCAGTTGCTAAACTGACTGCTGTATGCTGGCACGTCATGTATGGAGTAGGCATCTCAAAGATCACTTGTGACCCTTAATGCCCCACAGGTTCTGGCCTTCATGAACTGTATTTTGGAAATTATGTAAATTGTTTTGCACAATATTGTTATGAACTGTCATGAAAATCGACGAATTGCAGTTGTATAGGCTTCATATTGAATGAAAGTGGCTTCCTTTCATTCTCCTAGAAACTTCAGCTGAAGGATAATTTTACAGTGCAGCAGGGTAACAGTTTTACACAGTGAGAAAATACCAGGTTACGAATACACTACCTGTTTTTAATCAATTTCTAGGGACCAGTTTGAGATATTGATAGTCAACTCCAGTTGATTTAATTGAATTTATTGTATAATGAAATAACAGTATAGAGCAGAGCTCCTACAAGCATTTGATAGTTCTTCAGCTAGTTATGGAATTCTCTTCCTCCATAGAACTGAAAAGTTAATGTCTGTTTATTATTATCCTCACATTATAAGCCTCGAATAGTTTCCTTGCTGCAGGTATTTGTTTATTATTATCCTCACATTATAAGCCTCGAATAGTTTCTCTTCCTCCATAGAACTGAAAAGTTAATATCTGTTTATTATTATCCTCACATTATAAGCCTCGAATAGTTTCTTTGCTGCAGGTATTTCCCATATCCTGTCTGCAACAGGCCCCACTAATTTCATCTGCTTTGATTTACTTACCATAATAAAATAGTATAAATTATGAACGTGCTTATTATTTAATTTTCTCCGTGCTCATTTACTAGCCCTCTCTTAGGTCCAGACTCTCCCCTTGATACCTTGTTCTCAGAAACCAATATATTTTTTTTGCATATTTTTGAAGGATGCTGGAGCATGTGTGCACACAAATTTTGGTTTGTGTGTGTGTGCGTGCGTGTGAGAGAAAGGATAGGGATACATGCAAACATGCTAAATACTTGTTTATTTATTTTTAATATGTGGGCTTTTAGCTAGTATGTTACAAAAACAAATTAGGCTATTGTGGCAAGAAATTAAATGTAAGTTACCATATTGCATGCAGTGTGAAGCACAAATTCACATAGGTATGTTTTGTTCAGCAGTTAGTTTTTATAACCATCAGATTCGCATCAAATTTAGATCAGTAAAGGATATGACTGCAATATGCAGATAGTATCTTGTATTTCCAGATTTGCAAGATGACATCTTTCAAAGAACCAGGAAGACTGGAGGAAAGTGAAGTGAGAACAGCTCCAGTGATAATGGAAATTGAAGCCACAGCAGATCCTGAATGTGCAGTATTACTGGAGGAGTTGAATGAAGAAGATTTGGAAATGATTGATTCTAGTGATTTTATAGAAGCTCACACAGTAAATATGGATGATGGGGAAATAAAAGATGATGATAAAATGATAATAGATGAAGATTTTGATTCTGATTCAGATGTTGAAGAACAACAAAGTTTTTCAGAATACCTGGAAGATGAAATTGTGACTAAGGAGCAAGAACAAGAACTTACCACTCGATTTCTGAATGGGGAATTGACGTTTAGTGAGTATGCAGCGTTAATGGAAGGAAATGAAGTTGATGATGGTACAGATGCTTCTTGTATGGCATCAAATACAACTGCATCAGCAGCAGATGCTTTTGAGAAGGAGTTGAAAGAATCTAGTAGACTGAAGGGAAGAAGACAGAGAGCTGGAAATCGTATGAGAAAAAGACGTGGAGTTCTTCCACCTGCTCTTCAGGGATTAATGGGTGAAGCAAACTTGCGTTATGCACGTGGAGAAAGGGAGACGGCAGTCAAGATGTGTTTGGAAATCATTCGACAAGTTCCTACAGCTCCAGAACCATTTCAGACATTAGCTGTACTGTATGATGAGTTGGGTGCTCCAGACAAATCATTACAGTTTGCTTTGATTGCAGCACATTTAAGCCCTTATGATGCTGAGCAGTGGATACACCTGGCAGCAAAGTCTGAAGAACAGGGGAATTTGAAGCAAGCTGTCACCTGTTATTCCAAGGCTGTTGCTGCTGATGCCAGCAATGTAGAAGCCCACATGAAAAGAGGAGAGTTACTGGAGCGTATTGGGGAGAGAAAGGCTGCTCTCAGGGGGTACCAAAGGCTTCTTTCTTTGCTTACACCAGAACAAGGATCAGTAGTTGTCCAGGTAGCCAAGATGTTAGCTTCCAAATTTCATAAAGATGGGGAGTTGATGAAAGCAAAAGAAACAATGGATGTTGTATTTAAGAAAGTTCCTCACCTTGTTACTTCAGAACATGTAAACCTGATGTTAGAACTGTTACTGAGTCAGAAGGAATACACTCATTGCCTTGAGATCTTGGTCCAGTATTGTGGTATTGAAGTGGAAGCAGGATCTCTGACTGAAAGTGCTGACCAACCACTCATAGTATTACATTGCACTATACCAGAATCACTTCCAGTTGATCTGCATGTTAAACTTACTGTTGTTTTAATTCATTTGAAAGCCTTTCATATGTTAAATATGCTGTTGGAACCATTAGAAGAAAATGATCCTGAGGAAGCTGGTGATCTCTACTTAGATGTAGCTGAAGCCTTGATGAGTGAAGGGAGACATAGGGATGCCCTCAGGCTTCTGAATCCATTGGTGAAAAGTGAGAACTATGGCTTGGCAGCAGTTTGGTTGAGACATGCAGAGTGTCTGAAAGCTTGTGGACAGCGAGACAGAGCAGCGGCATCTTATGAAGTGGTGGTACAACAGGCTCCCCAGCATTTGCAGGCCAGAATTATTCTCTCAGGCTTATTGAATGAGCTAGGGCGTGAGGAAGAAGCCTTAGCTGTTCTCACACAGGATGCAGAATCTGAAGTTCTAGAACCTGGACTTCTGTATGAAAAATGCATGCTGCTGAAAGGAGTACAGGAAAGGACAGAAGAGTTTTTGGCTGTTGGTCAGCTTCTCTTGTCAAGGCATTTTGTCCGCATACGTAATAGAGATGAGCTCTATGCTCTTTCACGACTGAGACGTTTAGAAAAGAAGAAGGAGGCGCTGAGAGAAATCCGCACTTCTCGGGGAGAACCACAGTTTGATACTGATGCACCAGATTTTGGAGTAGGCAAGAACTCCCCAACAGTTGAGGAAGAATGGGCTCTCTTTCGAGAAATGTGTGACACTTGCTATAGAATAGGTCGATTTGCTTTGCTGCAAAGATTAGCTTTTTCTGCAATGGGCTCAAAACTTTTCTATTCCAGTCCTGACAGAGCACTTGAAATGGAGTTTCTGTGCCTTCTTGCTTGCTTTCACAATGGTGATGCATACTACGGTTACAATCTTGCCAGGGATCAGCTTCTGAGAGAGATGAAATATCCACGGATATGGAACTTATTCAACCTCATTCTTCAGCGAGCTGATGATGTACGCCATAACCGTTTCCTCATGCGTCTTTTGGCTCGACATCCCAACCATCCTGCCTTGACCCTTCTCCATGCTAACAATTGTCTAGTAGCTGGGACATACAAATATGCCCTTAGCGAATACGCAGCAACATTCCGTTCCAACCCAGGTCCACTGTCAGCTTTCCTGTTAGGTGTCACACTCTTCCAGATGGCATGCCAGAAGTTCTCAGCCAAGAAACATTCTCTAGTAACACAGGCTCTTGCTTTCATGTGGAAGTATCAGCAGTATCGGGGTGAAGATGGCTATCAGGAAGTTCACTACAATATTGGACGAGCATTCCACCAATTGGGACTCCTTCCTGCTGCAATATACCATTACAAGGAAGCACTGAACTTCACCTCACCTCTCCTTGAGAAGTATCCACATTTGCTGGACCTAAAGAGAGAAGCAGCATTCAATTTATACCTTATTTATATGAGCACTGGTGCATATGACATTGCACGCAGCTATGTTGATAAATACATTGTTATTTGAACTGGTACCATTATTATTGAGATGAAATTATGTTATTTCAAGGGTTTTGCTGTTGTAATATTCAATGTATAATTTAATGTTAAAGTACAAAATATGAATTCATTCTATCGGTGATAATGGTTATATTGATTTTCATTGCCCCTAAGTACCTTTGAGTTGTACACATTGCATTCAACTTTTTCTGTTATATATGATCGGATGAAGCACTGCATTCATAGTTTGAATCATAATATGGCACATTCAGCCAATATACTTTACATAATCACAGCAGAGTTGACTGGAATAAGTTTAATTAGCATACCATTACATTTATTATTAAAAAATTGTGGTGTGATGTTTTCATGATGGTTATCAGACCTTACAGTAGCGCAGTTGGTTGAGGCACTGTGCTACAAGCTGGAAGGTTGTGGGATCGAGTCCCGATGATGGATTTTTTCAATTCACCTAATCCATCCGGCCGCACTATGGCCCTGGGGTCGCGTAACAGAAATGAGTACCAAGAATATTCTTGGGGATAAAGGGTAGTCCGCGCATAGGGCTGACAACCTTACTGCCATCCGTGAGCCAATTGTCTAGAAAATGTGGGAACCTCAACATCTCACAACCCTATGGGCCTCCACGGCCTGTTACAGGGATAACTTTACTTACTGTTACTTCTTTATCAGGTCTTATCTTAGATGTAACAGAACACTAACAAGTGCAGGGATACCACCACTAAATACTGCCTTACAGAATCAGTTACGAAACTGCACTCTCTCAGCAGAATTGGCCTCATGCAATTCTTATACCATGGTAAACTTGTATAGCTTTAAATGAAGGAACTTTGTGGCTTGATGCGTAGATTACACCATTTACTTGAGATAAGCAGTTTTCAAGATATTTATGCTGATGCTAAAAAAAGCTCCAATATTGTCTTGTGATTCATCTGTAATAATGTGTCACATTTAGATTCTGCTTCTTCTGTAATAAAGGACCTATTAGTTGTTATGTTGTTGTTTTTGACAACTGAAATACTAGGATACTTTCTGCAAAATTTTCTGACACTTTTTAAAAGATTTCTTCTCTAATATAGGTTTCAACAAGAAACATTCTGTTCTGTACTGTATACTTCCTTGTCTTTAACAAACTCAGCAGACTGGTGTAATGGCAACACTAGACGTTTATTCAGGGAGGGGGGGTTACTTGGTTTGAATCTCAGCTGAAACAGTAGCTGTTGTGACTGAAATTTTACATGATTTTCTTCACTACTTGTAGGAAAATGCAAGAATAGTACTTTGATTAGGCCATGGTTGCTTCTTTCTAAATACTTTCCAATTCATTATTCAGCAGCCATCCTTCTATTTGATGCTGTATCATCCTGAGATATTGACAGTGCTATAAAATGAATTCACCAAGAAAATAAGTAACAGAAACATACACTTCTCTCTTACACAGTAATTATTGTGTGAGGCTTACACCAGATAACTGGCAAGTATTAATTGGGAGGTGAGTCCATTACAGTGCAGCAACATGTGAATGCTGCTGGATGGATTCCTAGATATACAGGACTGTCCGTGGCACAAAGGCAGTTTAATTGCTCTAACTTAATAAAGGTAGATAGATTTTTGGCAGCATTGAAGGCTTTCTCGAGGAAAATGGAAACTCAGTTAAATGATTTAATAATCATTTATGAAGTCAATATTTTCTAGCCACAACAGATTATTCAGGTTGGTCCATGTTGCTTTTGTTTCAGGACATAATTAGAAGCTAACCAGTTCTAAAAACAAAAGTGCACATAACCAGGAGGCTTTTTCCTTCATAGGTGAGAGTGTACTGAAACTTGTGTGCTCTCATTCACCGAATCCTTGAAATTAAACAATGTGCTCCAAACAGAATTGTGTTAGAATTGTTCGGGTATATATGACAGTGAAGAAAAACATGGAGTTATTTAAGTTAAGACTGTAGGAAGACTGTACAGTAACAGTTGGTACTATTAGTAGTTAGTTAGTTAGTTATTGGAGAGGGTGGGTTTCCCCATGCACTTAGACCTGTATTGGTGCATTGTGCTTCCCTCTATGATTTCTACCAGTCTCTATATCCTACCGGTACTGGTGCTTACCATCAGTCCCGCCCAGCCAGCGAGACTGGCTCTACTAGCTGAGAGGTATCTATAATGCTTCCCCCATCTACCAGAGGTATTAGAGACTGCTGTTGGGCAGGAAACGTCCGCAATTTGGCTCAGTGACCTCCTTTGGAGATATGAGGTTCTTTTACGTGCCGTAAAGCTACGACACGGGACCCACGGCTGAAAGTCCCTCCCGGAGGACTTGTTCCCTGAATTTTTCTGCCCTTAAAAATTCGATGACCTCCACCGGGTATTTGAACCTGCGTACTACGAGTCATGAGGTGGGAACGTTACCTCTAGACTACGGAGGCTGCTGTACTATTAGTAACTGTAGCTGTTACTTTAGCTTCATTTGTGTATGTTAGATTCCTTATTCTTTTAAATGATGCCTCTCTTATATGACCACTTTCATCACTTAACCATTCATCACAGTCATGCTAATTACTCAGTGTCATTCATTTCTAGTTGGTGAACAGTATAAGCCAAGGTAACTGAAACAGTAGCTATAAAATATGGAATCTACTGTTGCTTCTAAAATACCCTTCAAGGATTTATGTCTTCTCTGTGAGAAAATTAGTAGCAGTGCACGTTCCATGAAGGGAGCATACCTCAGAAAGTACATCAGCTACTTCCGTGAATATGCCAAGAAGATGAAACAGGAAACACCATCATTGGTAAGTATTTTATTTGCACGTTTCTATGCTTAGTATGTTCTTTACAGGAAACTTTGGAGCATAGTGCATATGAAATATGTTAAGTGGTCACCTAACATTTTCATTATGTCGACATATGACTGACTTCTAGGAAATCACAAGACTTAGAACAACACTTATTATTTCGCATTGAATGTAAAATGTGCCTCATTCCTGAGCATATTCATAAATATACTGTACATGTACTAAATATTCTGTGTATCTAGGGTAACTTTGATGTGGCAGAATTGTACTTGGTACTTTCTTTTAATTCTTTCATAAGTGTATGCTCTTGGTATCCCTCCAACTAAACCTGTGGACCTACTAATTTATGATGGGTGAACTCATCTTAACCATGCTTTTATGAACATTCTTCATTTTTTTTTATGGAAGCGTTATTACTCTATGTGCCCTTATATTAGACCTGCAGCCTTGGCATTATCCTCTAAGTAGAGTTTTCAAAAAAAATATTTTGCTGTGCCACAAGTAATATACAGTGTCCCATTTGAACCATTGATCACTCATACCATCATATCACAGTATGACAGATCTAATACCCACAGATAATAAAAATAATGTGCAGTTATAAGTCTGAGGAGGCCCATAGGGTTGTGAGACATTGAGGCTTCCCCATTTTCTAGGCTCTCAGCTCACAGGTGGTAGTGAGGATGTCAGCCTTACATGCCAGCTGCCCTTTACCCTGCCAGGAAGCAGCCTCCATAGTCTAGAGGTAACGTTCCCACCTCATGACTCGTAGCACGCGGGTTCAAATACCCAGCAGAGGTCGTCGAATTTTTAAGGGCGGAAAAATTCAGGGAACAAGTCCTCTGGGAGGGACTTTAAGCCATGGGTCCCGTGTCGTAGCTTTACGGCATGTAAAAGAACCTCATATCTCCAAAGGAGGTCACTGAGCCAAATTAACGGACGTTTTCCGCCCAACAGCAGTCTCTAATACCTCTGGTAGATGGGGGAAGCATTATGGATACCTCTCAGCTAGTAGAGCCGGTCTTGCTGGCTGGGCAGGACTGATGATAAGCACCAGTACCGGTAGGATATAGAGACTGGTAGAAATCATAGAGGGAAGCACACTGGACCAATACCGGTCTCAGTGCATGGGGAAACCCACCCTCTCCAATAACTAACTAACTAACTACCCTGCCAGGAAGATTCCTGTTACTCATTTCTGGTAGAGGTTGAGTCTACCCCAGGGCCATAGGAGAGCAACTGAATCTCAAGAAAATTATCAGTTGTGTACAGGCACCTTGCCTTATATGTCTGGTGGATTTGATCTTATCCTCATTGCATATAGTTCTCCAGCTGATTTGGTATTGAGACATGTACAGTCTGGTTGCATTCATGTAGGATATATTTCTCTTTTGTTCTTACTTTCCTTGTGTCAATCATTTTGGTATTCCTGTCATCATTCATGGATTTTCGCCAATATCAGCATTGCATAACCTTAGTGATTTATATAGTATTTTGAAAATATTCATGAATAAACTATCTATGACATTACTCTTAAGATGTTCATGCTTGTATGAAAGAGATTATAACAAGCAAACACATTCATTATTATGTTATTTAGAAGATGCAGTTTTATTCATAAGTAACAATTATTTGCCTTGCACAAAAACATTGTTTTATATCTTCTATCCATGTGCAACTTTGTTAAGTATTTTAAGAAATAATGATGAAACTGTTGCTCCTTTAGATTTAAAATGATGTAGTTGATTTTAAATTATAATAGGATTTTTTATGTATTGTAGAATTGACTTTGTGATTGTGTTTTTTTATGTAAAGTACAGAAGAGATGTATTTGATAGATTTCTGTTTCTCCTGTTTGCTTTGCGCATGGGTACCACCAAGGGGAAACAAGCCATGCATCTGCCCCCTACCTGGATTTTTGGAAAGAAATCAAAATTGAAAACAAAAATGAATATATCAAATATTGGAGCTGGGATAGCTCAGTCTTTATAGTGACAAGCCATGGGCTGGATGGCCAGGATTTGGTGTCTAGCAGGAGCAAGAGGGTTTTCTCTTCTCCACAGTATCCAGACTGGTTCTGGGATCCAGCCAGCTTTCTGTACAAAGGATATTGAGGGCTTTATCCCCAGAAGTAAAGCAGCCAGGGCATGAAGTTCACCATTTGCCTCCATTTTGTACTGAGGCCAAGAAAGTTGGAGCTATACCTCCACTCCCTCATATGTCTTCATTGTGTGGTGCTTGATTAAGCACAGGTACAGCTTTACTTTATACCAAACATTGATACCAAAAATGAAAATTATTTTGTAGAAAAATATCGTGTCCTGAATACAAAGGGGAAGCCATGAAAGTATTCTTAAACAGCTGAAACATGTGTACCCCCTTCCTTTTGAAAACGTCTTGGTGGTTCCCATGGCTTAGCAATGTCTTACTCCATAGGATGACAGTTTCTATCCCATCCTACGACTACTACTGCCACAGCTAGACCGAGAACGTGGTGCTTATGGTGTAAAGGAGCACAACTTAGCTAAAGTTTACATCCGTATCCTTGGTCTGCCTAAGGAAGGACATGATGCATCAAAACTACTCAATTTTAGGTGGGGTTAAATTATGGAATGGTTTCTTAAAATGTTGATGATAGAGTGTGAATGAATATATTAGTGTTCATTAAATTTAACAGGTGAGGACATTGTTAGTAAACATGGAGCAGTGTAGAAAATTGTATTTCAGTAGTTGAATAATCAATATAGGCATTTGTATTGGATTTGTTTTAAGTTTAAAGTGTGAAGAGAAAGGATGGTTGTCACCCACTACATGAATGCTTAAAAGTTTTCACATGACTGGATGAATTTTCATGTTACTACTACAAATTTTGATTACATTTTATAACAGTGATAGCAAACCTTTGTGCTACTTATTGGTGTGAAGTGGTACCAGACATGCTCACTGCTCCAGCAGTATGCATATGGATTTCATTGGTGAGATATTTTTTGGTATATATTTTTAGACAGCTCTTTAAATTTTAATATACACCATTTTGAGAGCAACACAGTTGGCACTTTGTATGTCTAAGACAGCTTCTTAGGTCCAGTTGGGTGTATTTCATCATTGAGGATAATTATTCATGTGAATATACTGAACCATAGATTGGCAGCACTATAAATGATGATTTTACATTGTTTTAGACCAAGGGAGTATGATTTTCCAAGCATTTACATGTACATTTTCAGCGTTGTTATGATTTTACTGTTTGAAACATGTTTCCACTTCTTTTCTCAGGTCAGTGAACATAGTCTGATTTGTGATGTTTGCTTTTGGAGTTTGGCTGTGTTGTGTATTGAATTTTATCCAGCATTTCGGCTAAAATTGCTGTTGCCGTCTTTGGGGTGAATGAAGCAGAATGAGGATATGACCCAATGTATAGGTCTTACAGTAGAGATAATGGTGGGGGTGTGTGGTTTGGTGCTGTCTAGCATGAAAGGGGCATGGTTTGATGTGTAAAGCTCACAGTGGTTGGTAGGCTGAGGATGTGAAGTGCAGTGCTTTCCAATAGAATGAGACCATTTGGTTAATGAAGAGATTTAGAGGAGAAAATGTGAGCTCATACTTTACATATTTTGTGTCATTTTTCACAGTTGAAGTTGTGATGGTGTGTAACTATTTCAGTGCTCTTTTTTTTCCATGCAAGATGGTGAGTGTGAATGTTAGCTAGGGCTTCTGTCCTATCAAATTTGATGGCATGTTTGGTTACACTGGAGTGTTCATCTGTGGCAGACACTGGTTTTCTATCCTGGATCCTTTTTCATGTTCTGATATCCTAGTGGAGATAAAGCAGCCAATTCTGCTGCAGTAGACTTTGCTACAGGTGCAAGAGATCTTGTAGATCCCAGGTTTTGTTGCAGTGGTTGTTCATTCTTAATCGGTCTAAGGGGGCCTGTTATTTGTTCAGTCGTTTGTCAATGGTGTGGACCATTGAAAAAATGACAGCCCAGAAGGAATTATGATTGATATCCTAACATTACTGCTTTTCAATTTACTTATAAGAAAATGTAGCTTACATGAGAAATGGAAATTATATTTTATAATTCCAGAGGTGTCTTATTTTAGATGAACTGAGTAATGATACCTACAGTGAAGCTTCTCTTGTAATTAAATGAACATTAAAGTCACATGCACTTGTTCACTGTTGATTCTTATTTGGGCTGCAAGAAGTCAAGCTTATATACTGAATGAATAAACATTTCCATATTAGACTTCATTATCCATTGTTATTATAATGAAAGAAAATGAAGTGTATTGTGTATAAACTGTTTAATATATGCTTCAAAGTCATATTGTAATAGAGCACTACATGAAAAGAACAAAACCACTCTGAATCTGATGCACTCAGTCGAGAGTTTCTTTTGTTCCTCTCTTGTTTATTTAGATCTTTTGTTGAAACAAATGGAATATTTGTGTTCATGTAGGTTGATATATTAAGCTTATAATTGAAATCCATATGAAGACATTGAACTAAGACAAAGAAGGAAGTCTTTTTTTGTTTTCAGCTCCCTTCTCTGTCTTAGTTTTAGATCTCTGCAGTTGTTGTTTTAGATTTTCCTATTGTCTCCCACTGATAAGACATGCTCTCAGGTGCATATATACATTTAGTTATACTGACTTAGGTTGTCAGGAAACGGAGATTATATGTCTCTTTGGTAACAGGTCCTGCTGAGTAGATGCCTCGCCACCATTTTAATTGAGGATGGAAACAGATTCAGTTTCTTTTAGAATGTTAGACAATGGACAAAGATCAGAAACTCAGTAATTGTAAGTCTGTAAAAGTTTGTTAGGGAATATTTCAAGCAATACAAATTCCTTATAAATGAGATGTGTTTTTCAGAAATATTTATGTCTTATGTAAATACCAGTATGTCTTCTCTGATCATGTGTGTGTGTGTGTGTGTGTGTGTGTGTGTGTGAGTGAAACACCTGTCTCTGGACCACTAATAAATTACATAACACCCACAAGAGAATGTGACTTTGGTATTACTTCATGCAGTTGGATTTAATTGTTAAGAATGTATAAATGAATATTCCAGTTAATTATGTTCATATTATCTTATTAGGGCTCCAAAAACTGCAGGCAAACTTGCTGGTGACTTTGCAGAGGTGGCTTTCTGGGTTCTGAAAAGTCGTTGTCCTGAAGGGGGGAGTCTGAATGTGGAGCAAGTGAACATGCATCTCAATAAGATCGTACTGAAACATGCAGCTCATGATCCAAGTAAGACTTTTCTTTTCATTCCAAAAGAAGGAGAATACAAACAGTTTCAAGCTGAAATTATGGTTATTAATTGTCATGGTTACTGTAAAATTAGGCGTAATACACTTTGTATGGGGAGAGAGAGAGAGGACAGTGACAGAACTGAGCATACAACACATGCCTACCTTTTATACTTATATTATGAAAGGAATTATGAATTATGAAAGGAGTCCTTGAGGGATTCTATGAATGTCTTATTAGCATTTGTATCACCTGTAATGGTTCTCTTGAATTGTTTGTTGTAAAATGTCATGTAACATGTTCATGCCTTCTTGATGCAATTCACATATGACTGGCAGACGATAAAAGCATATTAGTATCAGCCATTGATATTGATGAAATCCAAGTAAGGTCTAACATTGTGTTGAATTCTTTAAGCCATTGGTTTGCATGTAATGGCATGTCTCTAAATCTGAAAAAAACTAAAGTGTTAAAATTTGATACAATTAATCGAGATAATATATGTATACATTTCAAGTTTAATGATGAGATATTGCATGAGGAAACCCACGTTAAATTTTTGGGCATTGAAATTGATAAGACCCTGGATTGGAAGTCACAGATTGAATTGATGCTGTCTATTGATGCAAGGTATGCTTTGCAGTAAGAAACATGAAATTGTATAGCAATATTGAAACACTAAGGATGATTTACCACGCGTATTTTCATTCAATTATGAGATATGGGATAATATTTTGGGGAAACTCGTTGGAGGTTAAGAAGATTTTTCTTTTACAAAAGAAGGCTGTCAGAGTAATGATTGGAATGAAACCCAGAGAATCATGTAGAACAGTTTTTAAAAAATTGAAAATTCTGACATTGGCCTCTCAGTATATTTTATCTTTAATGATACTAATGATAAACAATTTGGGGTATTATACTTTTAATCATATAATTCATGGTAAATCAACAAGACAAGTTAGAAACCTACATGTTCCTCAATCACATCTAACAAAGAGGCAAAAAGGGGTCTATTGCATGAGTGTAAACGTTTTTAATAGTTTGTCTGATTTTTTAATTGAGTTAGTACATAATAAAAAACAGTTTATTGGGAAACTAAAGGATGTATTGCTTCAAAATCCTTCTTATACTGTTTAGGAATTCTTGCTTTTCTGTCAAGACCTACAGCTAAGGAAAAGAGGTGTCTGACAGTGCACACTTCACTAAACACTATTTATTTATGTCCTTGGCTGTGCTTATATATACTTGCTGCAATTTGTATTGCCTTTTAACTATTGTATGTGTTTTTGACAAGTATGGATTATATATGCTAGTGATTCTATTTGTGAATGTATAAGTGTCCAATGTTTTGTTTGCTTGTTGACATGTTTTATATTTGGGGCCGGTGGCACATTTATGAATATTTTAAAGAAAAGCAAATGTATATGTATGTATGTAACACAGAATGGTGTATATGCTAGGGAGACTATTTGCAGAAGTATACTTGTCATTTGAATGGAAAGCTAGAAGGAAAGAAACCACTAGGAAGACCAAGATGTAAGTGGGTATACAATATTAAAATGGAGCTTAGGGATATAGGATGGGGTGGTATGGACTGGATTGACTTGGCTGAGGATAGGGACCAGTGGAGGGCTCTTGTGAACTTGGAAATGAACCATTGGGTTCCATAAAATGCTGGGAAATTCTTGAGTAGCTGCATAACTGGTGTCTTCTCAAGAAGGGCTGAGCTTCATGGAGTCAGTCAGCCATACCCAGTTACAATGTAGCTGGAACAAACCATCAGTGGTGGTGTTAGCAAAGCATTCTCATGACTTCTTGATACTACCTCATATTACAGTTTACCTTGACTCTTATAATAGCATCCTCATGCATTTCATAGATAACAGATGGGATAAATGGTTTATTTAGAGGACAGATTTCTGCTTTATCCCTTCTGATATAGCACCCACAGTCATTCCATCAACATTACCAGAAGTGCAGTAACAAAACTATAAGGACAAAAATTACATTAAATTTTTCAAACTTAAATATAATATTCATGTAACCAGTTATGATACCAGAGTTGTTTTCCTTTTCATTTGATGTGCTTCAAAATTGAATAAATCTTATTTATTTTCCCCTTTATGAGAATTACCATATTTACCCTCACTGAAGTTGTATTTACTTATTTCAAGATATTAGTCTGAAAATGGGTGTGTGGCCTTATCCACAAAATTCTGTATGTGTTTGTAACATGACTGCTTTAATTGAGACTTCCAAGTAAAGAGGATATTAAGAAAAATGCAATTTGAATGCTAAGAAATTATAATTTTTAGTCAGTTTTTTGTCTTAAAATATCAGTACAATCAACATTATGAACTACATCACAAGGTGTTAGACATAAACTATCAAAAGAGTCACAACAAATAGAAAAATAAAAGAGAGTCTGCACACTTTATATGAAAGAATGATTTATGCTGTCAAACATATTGGTGGGAACGCACCCAACTATTTGTCTTTTATCTCAGCTGTTTATCAAACCAGATGTACTTTGTGTATCACATCCTGAGGTCAATTCTACCAACATGTTTTCATGTCGAAGAGTATGGTCTTCTTAGTCACCAATCAGAAGCTCATATCCAACATAATGTTGCATGTTTCCTAGGTAACGCAACAAGAAAATTTACGTGGATCTCGGATTTGGACGAATATTTTTATTGGACAATCACACTTTGCACCCACTAATACAATTATTTGCACTTATAATGCCTTCAGACATTTCCTCTTTAATGTTATACACTCTCGCACCCCTAATCTCAGTGAAGTATCTTCTGCTCTGCTCAGAGCTCAGCTGTCCTTAGCTCTTGCCGAAGCTAAACTGACTCTCTCTTGTCAGATAGGAACTTGCTTTTGTTCTAATTGGATATGCACTAACTGGCCTCTTGCCAAAGTTGGGCTGTTTTGTCCTGCACTCAGGCTGAATAGGGAACACCTTGTCGAAGGGTTTAGTTTCGCCTGTTGCTATGCAAATGAATCTCTTGTTGCTGCGGGAATACATTTTTACTACCTTAAACAATTCATTGCTTAGATATTGCTAGTCTTTTTGTAACTGTGGGAACCCAGTGTTAGGTTCTTGTGTTCTTCAAGCAGTTTCCTAGGTATCATGCTTTCTCATTGTCCGTTGCATAGCGATGGATGTCTTAGACTCAGGCTTTCAGGCAGCACGTCACAATATATTTTTAAGTTATTTTATATGAATGTTTATGAAGTTAACCTTCATAATTCTTATTAACTATAGTGTTTCCTTTTTGTATCATGACCAGGGCCTGGATTTTGATGACATGTCATCTTTTTTTCGTTGTATCCTATGAGATACTCTTACATATATAAATCTCAGATATGAGCTGCTAGTTACAGAAATTTAAATTTTATAGGTAATTTTTTGGTAAACTTTGGACTTTTAAGAGTATTTCTTGTCATTTTTGGCCATTTTAGAGAATTTTTCTTCATATGTTTCTGAAATGTGAATAATATGGAAGCGAAGTGTTCTTTCTCTTTCTCCTTTAGGCCATTTTTCTGGAGTTTTTCGGTCATTTTATAGGTAATTTTTTAAATATTTTCAGGTCATCAAAATCCGGGCCCTGCATATTACATTTTTGGGTCATATTTTAGGTCATTTTTCTGGATTTTTTCGGTCATTTTATAGGTCATTTTTTAAATATTTTTAGGTCATCAAAATCCAGGCTGTGATTATGACATAATATGGCGTGCCAAAATATTGTGGTAGTTTACAAATTGATACATCCTTGTATTGAAAAATTCAAACTAATTAACTGTGAAATCTTAGGAACTTTAACATTTAAAATATGACAAGTTGTTTTTATGTTTGTTTTGTTGAAACACTTATTTTCAGGAGGGGTTGATGCTGAGCTTGTTGCAATGTTGACGTCAATGTCTGCAGCAGAACAGAAATGGTTGATACGGATGTTGTTAAAGGACATGAAATTTGGCTTGGGCCAGAATAGTATTTTTGGCATATATCATCCAGATGCCAAGGAGCTGTATGATGTTTGTAACAACCTTCATAAGGTACATGATGTTTATAAAGCATATTGATATCTTTTACATGTATAAGCCTTTTTATGGATACAGACCATATCTTGTCAATCTTGCAATTGAAACTGAAACTGTTACTGCTTCTTTTTTTTTAATTCATGTCTCTAATTATAATCCACATTTCCTGTTGACTACATAGGTAACTTGAGTCCATTTCACATTCATTAGTTACTCTGAAATTGGGTGACATTTATTATGTTGGCTGGTAGCAGCATAATTTTCACAGGTGAAAAAATATTCCAAGAAAAAATAAGATCTTCACTACTGTCAGCTTGTCAAATACTTTGATTAATTTAATCTTGTGACCACCATTAAACTAAGCTGGAAAAATAGGAACATTAATAGAACCTACTATAATAGGAGGATGGGGAAGAAGTTGGAGTATTTGAAGAGTTAGATCTCTTTGCTTGTGTTCTACAAGCAATATTTTTTAACTGTCCACAGATTATTTGGGTTTCGTTTGAGCTTAAAATAAGAAACACATGCCTATTGTTACTGCCTCTTTATAGAAATGAAATCTATTTTTTGTGGCCCCTAATAAACTTTTTAACAAAACTTAATGTTATTCCATATTGAACGATATTTGGACTGCAAATTTTTTTATAGCTACATACAGACATGTACTGAGATAAATCATTGAACATAATGGATTACGATGAAATGTTATACTGAGATTTCTGAACAAAATAGAGGCCCATCAGAATAATTTTTTCTTCATCTTTCACTGCTGTGTCATGACATTTTCTCATGCAGTACTTATGCTTGTATTCAAGATTAAAGATTCAGAACCATTTTTCTAGTATATTTAAGTATATTTTATGAATAAAACTTACAGAATTATATGAGGTAACTATTTTGATATATACAGTAAAACTTGGTTATAACAACATCGGTTTCTGCGACACCTTGTCTATTGCGTCAAATATTCAATGGTACGAACTAATTCCTCATAAAGCAACTGTTTTTATACCTTGCTTAGTACGACATGCACAAATGCATCAACCTCGTATGTAATGTCATTTTCATTCCTGAATTTCTCTGATATCGTGGGAAAGTTCGATGTGTCTGCCCACCCTCACTTTCTCTACTTGCTGACGTGACTGTCCTGGAAGAATACGACCGTAGGCTGCAAGAGGAGCGTGGGTTTTATGCGAAAACAAGGGTGTGGGGTGGGACTGCGTGAATAGTGCAAGATGACCCGGCAGGTTGTTAACTGCATTTCTTTCCTATAATCTCGTCTAACAGGACCTCACATTGTCTACTTACCCTATAGTGTTCCTGCCTAAACCCAGAGAAGTGCAGTAGCGAAAACATGGCAATGAAAAGGAAAGTTTTAAGCATTGAAGAGAAAGTTAAAGTGATTCGTGAAATAGAAAATGGAAGGAAAAAAGCTGATGTATGCCGCGAATTTGGTTTGGTGAATTCTACAGTACAAACGATATGGAGAATCCATATTAATTCCACGTTAATGTTACGTTAGTCTGTACTTAACTACGTATTTCACTAAAAAAATGCAACATTTTAACTCGGTTTTTGGTAGATTTCTACGTGACTAACATAAGGCTACTGTGGAAGTGCCCATTTCGGTTACAACGACATTCGTTTATAACGACACTATTTTTAGGTCCCCTTGATGACGTTATAACCAAGTTCTACTGTATATATATATATTTATTGTGGGAACTGCCCACATTCAAACAACTGTAACTGTAACTATGACGCAATGACGCTCCCCTTGTCACACTTGCTTGAATGTGGGCATGACGCTTCCCTTGTCACACTTGCTTGAATGTGGGCAGTTCCCACAATATTGTAACGTGTTTTGCCACTGAAGACGCCATTCAGATTGTTAATTGGTTTATTTAACAACCTACAAGTCTTTGCTACAATTAAATATAACACTGTTATGGGTTTACACTCTTTACAAACCCTACTCACAATTCTATTCACTCTATCTTCAGTAGTCTACACATATTCACAGTACGATACGGGAGCTATACCAGTGTCACTATTACACAGTCCCAATTACTTCTCTTATGAGCCAAGCATCTGCTTCTCGCACTATCACTTCTAACCACACGTTCTGGTATTCTTTCCGCTACAACTGAACTCGGCGACTGTTCCAATTCAACTGTCTCTGGCAATGGCTACATTTAAACTGTGTCACTCCTGAGCACAAACTACTGACTCACTACTAAGTAACTACTAACTGCTAACTGACTCTGAATAGTGTTCACTGCTCCTTATTTAGCCTCAGCACGGACAAGACAGAAAACAGTTACGTGATAGGTACCGCTGTTGCCTGACACCGTGTTTGTCAGTAGCCTAGCAACACTGTCAGGAGTTGTTTACTGCTGCATAGCAACCGCGGCATCCCTTTGTCATGTCACCACGGGAGGGGGCGGGGTGTTGACTGGCCTATTACCGTAGCAACAGCAATGCTCCGAATGTGTTACATCACCTCTGGTGGGGGAGGGGGTGTCTTGCATGGCGCAAATACGTCACGCACACGCACACACACACACACATATATATATACAGTATTATTTAATTTAATGAGCTCCACTGTTTTTGTCTAAAATGAACTTGATAGGATTTTTCTGTCCCTATAACCATGGAAGGCACCTGGGGATTGGAAGAGGCATCAGCTGGACTACATCCTTGTGAAACATCGATTCAGAAACAGTGTGAAGGATGTGAAGACGCTTCCTGGGGCAGACATTGACTCTGACCACAACTTGCTGGTTGCCAAGTTCCGAACCAGGTTGAAGAAAATTATAGGATTTCGAAAGCGCAGACCCAGATGGGATTTGGAGAAGTTATATGCTCAAAGACAAAGCGTGCAAGAGACTCTAGAAGAGAAACTCGGTGCAATTGAAGGTGAAAGCGGAAATGCTGAAGCGCAGTGGAACGATATAAAAGAATGCATGTTAGATACTATCAGTGATTTGGTAGGTAAAGTTGAGAAGATAGCAAGAAAACCATGGGTTACACAGGAGATGATGAGTAAAATGGAGGAGCGAAGGAAATGGAAGAATGTCAACAATGAAGAAGGCAGGAGGAAATACAGGAGACTGAGGAATGAATTGAAAAGAGCCACGGACAGGGCCAAAAAGGAATATCTTGAGAAGATATGTAATGAGATTATGGAATTTCAAAGAACAGGCCGTTATGATTTGATGTACATGAAGACAAAAGAACTAGGATGGAAAGAGAATCATGGGATTCAAAATGTTGGCATCGAAGACTCCCAGGGGAATAGAATAGTAGATCAGAGGCAAGTGCTGAAAATTTGGGAAAATTATATTTCAGAACTATATGATCGACCTAATCGGCCAGAAACCTTAGAAGTTGAACCGGAAGAAGAAGTAGATACAGACGAGAAAGGACCATATATTTTACAAAGTGAGGTGGAAAAAGCTATCAAGGAAATGAGGAAGGGAAAGGCTACAGGAGATGATGATGTACCTGGAGATGTGCTCAAGTTACTGGGAGAAGGTGGTTTGAAAACACTGACAAAACTAATGAACACCATATATGAAAGTGGAGAGTGGCCCAAGGACTTTACAGAAGTTACAATGATTGCCTTAAAGAAAAAGACAAAAGCTACAAAATGCAGCGACCATCGCACAATAAGTCTTATTGCACATACAGCAAAGATAATAGCAAAGATACTTAAAAGAAGAATTGAAAGGAAAATAGAGGATGTACTTGGAGAAGATCAGTTTGGATTTAGAAGAGGAAAAGGAACCAGGGATGCAATTGGGATGATGAGAATTATAGCGGAACGAACTTTGGAGATAGATGAAGAACTGTGTGTTTGCTTCATAGACTGGCAGAAGGCATTTGACCGGGTAAACTGGACCAAATTAATGCAGATCCTGAAAGAAACAGGTATCGATTGGCATGAAAGAAGATTGATTAGCAAATTGTACATGGATCAGAAAGTTAGAGTACGACTGGACAGGGGGGAGACAGGAAGTGTGCAGATTGGAAGAGGAGTTCGACAAGGATGCTGTTTATCACCAATTCTGTTCAACTTGTACAGCGAATGCCTTACCAAGGAAGCTCTGGATGGGCTCGGTGACTTCAAAGTAGGAGGGCAAATTATTCAAACTGTGAAATATGCAGATGACCTTGTGTTAATGGCTAAGGAAGAAACTGTGCTACAGGGCATGATTGATAGACTAATTGAAATTGGAAGGTGCTATGGCATGGAAATGAATGTGGAGAAAACAAAAGTAATGAAAATTTCGAGACAACCAACCCCAGTCACAATAAAGATAGACCAAAAACAAGTGGAGAATGTGAAATGTTTTAAATATTTGGGTAGCTTGTTAACAGATGATGGAAGGTGTACTTGTGAAATTAAATCCAGGATTGCCATGGCAAAAGCTGCATTTAGCAAGAAGAAGAATCTTTTTACCAGCAAATTGGACTTAAATTTGAGGAAGAAACTAGTGAAATGCTACATTTGGAGCATAGCTCTGTATGGGGCTGAAACATGGACACTTAGGGCAGTAGATCAGAAACATCTGGAAAGTTTCGAAATGTGGTGTTGGAGAAGAATGGAGAAGATCAGTTGGACCGATTATGTGAGAAATGAAGAAGTGTTAATTAGAGTCAGTGAGCAGAGGAATATCCTACATGAAATAAGAAAACGGAAGGCTAATTGGATTGGTCATGTTTTACGCAGAAACTGCCTTCTAAAAGAAGCTATCGAAGGAAAGATAGATGGGCGGATAGAAGTGACAAGAAGACGAGGAAGAAGACGTAAGAAGATGCTGGATGACCTTGGGGACAGAAGAGGATACTGTCATTTGAAGGAGAAAGCTCTAGATCGCATTAAGTGGAGGAATTGTTTTGAAAGAGACTGTGGACCTGTCGTCTTGACAGATTACTGATGATGATGATGATAACCGGGTTTACATGGGTCAAGTCGTGGGTCAAATATCTTGCCTCCGCGCTTGCGTGGTTTTGTTCTACTTGACTTGACTTAACTACAGCCTGACAAACGTGTTTTCACGTAGTTCAGTAGATGTTCAAGTAGATGTACACAAAGTGTATACGAATCAAATGCCTGATATGAGAAAGCTGGTAATATTAGCTCTGCCGGCCTGCTCACTTGCATCATCTCTTGTTTACACTGGTAAAGTCAGCGGTCTAGTAGGTGATCAAGTGGTAAAATTCGTGGTGGGGGTAGCAGTCAAGTCAAGTTACTTGTCCACCGTGCAGAACTACTTGACTTGTCTTGCTACTTGATGCAAGTCGGTACTTGACTTGGCCGGAACTGTTTACACGATGCAAGAAAAATATTCTAATTAACTTTACCGCTCTACATGACCGTTTACTTGACCCGTGTATACCCGGCTTATCATATAGCACCAATATCACACATGCACTTTTGAAGACATAATTAATAAAGGAATTAAATTCAAACCTTTTAAAATTCAGAGTCACATTTATGGCATATTCAGATGCTTTTGGCTTTTAAATATTGAGACATAACTGGAAGAAACACCTGTTGCTGGGTTAGGGCACAATAAGGATGGGATGATGTCATTAAATAGGGAGCCACTGCTACACAATGGCTGGTAAACAACACATGGTGATGCAGTGTTTTCTGTGTGGTCCAGTCCAAGGCTATAACGAGGATCAATGTGTCGAGCAACACCTGCAGAACAGAATACTCTGCACTATTTGAAATCTTGACACTTGCACCCCAGTCTGCAAATTGCACATAGCTTTCAAACTTTCACATGTATATGGCTATATAACTGAAATGTGCAGCACACAGGCAGAAGCACATCTAAACCATGTAAGTCCAAGTGTACATGGTGTTGGACAAGGAGAAGCCAGGCACAGGAAGCATAAGAGCCTTAAACTTGTGCAGCGGTCAGGCCTATGACTGTTCAGCTGACTAACTGCAGTTTCAGAATAGTTACATTACTTAAGGCATCACCTGCTGCACAAGCCTGCATTGTCAGAAAACCCTCTGTATGTCTTATATAAATGTTACTTCGTATAATGCAATGATAAAGGATGCACAGAGTCTGTAGCAACCTGGATGCCATGGCAGCACAAATATAGTGCTGAAATTATAGTGCAACAAAAATATGGCCTACATAGAAAGACTGACCCCTTCTTTAATGAAGAGGAGATCCCATTTCATACATACTTGTCTAGTTGAGAATAAAAATCTTGGTCATGGATCTTGAGGCAATGCCAGCAGCAGTTTCACTGTTTGACTGCCAGGAGTTAATGGCCGTGAGGAGTTGTGAAACAGTCACTGTCGGATAAGGACGTGTGTACAGAAGGTGAGGAATCTACATTCTTGGGAACTGTTACCGGATGACTAGTGAAGACATAGAATACTTTATGTGTGCTGCAGTACAACGATTTGTAGAGTGTGTAGATTGTGAAGCTGTTATAGTTACCTGAATAACAAGTTATAAGTATTCAGTAAATCCAGTTACCAGTCTGAACCTTGTGTCTAATGCATAACATTGTTCTACATACAGAAACTTTTAACCCTTTCATTTTAGGTCAGTGAGATGGACTTTTGCATTTTGCATGCTCTTAACTTAAAAAAAATTATTTAAGTGTCACATGCAATCTCTACATTTCAGGTTTGCCAGTTGTTACACAATCCCACAGTTCGTTTGCATGAAGTGGAAGTTTCATTATTCTCTCCATTTCGACCAATGCTGGCAGAACGTTGTAATGTGCGCTCTGTAGAAGAATCCATGAAGAAAAGCCAGTTTTATTATGTAGAAACTAAACATGATGGTGAAAGGTTTCAGTTGCACATGGAGAATGGAGTTTTCAAATATTTCTCCAGGTTAGAAATTATGTAGAGAGCATGGCTTAGAGCCATGACAGAGAACGTGCTTACTTCTATTTCTCATCAAATGTCAAAATAGAATTTGCATTGATCATAATTAGGAAAGTAAATGTATACAGGATTTGAGGTTCCCACAATGATGGTTTTGAAGATTTCTGTCTTCTGGGATATAACGTAATATAGTCCTTTCGAAGTCGACTGATGTTACAGAGGAATGTATGGGGTCCCCATTCAGGGTCAAAGAATAAGCCAAGCAGGAAACCATTATAAAGCACGTAGCAAGCGGAGCAAGCTTGCTGCCTGCTTCATGTTGGTTTCTTGCTTGATTTGTATGTCAACACTGAAGTTGGAGGTGACATGTTCCTCTGAAATGCTGGTTGGCTTCCAGTGGACTGCATGGTGTTATATCCCAGAATATAGAACTCTTCAAAGGAAGTTTGGGTGTCCTTTAAAGGTACTTTATTCGCATATGCTCATGGTTTGTTTTGTAAATCCTTGCGACAAGAACCGGTGAATAAAATTAAGTTGTGTTCTGCAGAAATGGTTATGAATACACAGATGGTTTTGCCACACTTCTGACACCCCATGTGGCAAAACTACTGCGAACTGATATAAAGAGCTGCATACTGGATGGAGAAATGATGGGATGGAATCAAAAGTTGAAGTGTTTTAAAACTAAAGGTAAGAAAGAAATGATGCAATTTCCCCAAATTTTTCTGCAGCACTAGCCTTCAGTTGTGTTATACTACCACAGTCAGTGTGTTCGTGGAATGGCACGATCTGATTCCCTGTCAGTTCATCTCTTGTCACAGCAAGAGGCAGTTGTGTGCAAAAAGTGTAAGCAGAACTACGACCTCTATTATGAATTGCAGTTAAATGCAAGTGGTGAAAATCGGAAATGTTGTAGTTTGAACAATGGGCAAACATCAAGTTTTGCCAAAAACTAGGCAAATCCCCTAGCGAAACATTTGGCGTAGGAAGAATTGGCAGTTGCTACACGCCAACGCCCCTGCACATCGCTCTGTTCCTGTCCAAGAGGAACTGGCAAGGCAACAGGTAACCATTTTGCCATACCCTCCATAATCACCTGATCTTGCACCATACGGTTTCGCTCTCTTTCACCGCTTCAAAGCAAAGCTACATGGTCGTAGATTTCAGTCATCCGAGGAGGTGGTCATTGCCACAAGAGACACTGTATGGGAATTTCCTGCCAATATGTTTCAGCAATGTTTTCAGCAGCTATATCAACGTTGGCAGACTTGCCTAGTGGCCAATGGCAACTATCTTGAGGGCCGATGTGGATCTGTATAAGTGTATGTGAATAACTTGTAATATGATGCGATAAAACCACATTCCACGAACTTAATGACTCTGCCATGTATTTCTATATCTCTTTCCACTGATGGCAAAATTTGGTCCACAGCTTTGCTATTCTGCTCCTTGGGTCTATATTCGCTCTACATACTCCACTGTCACCTAATTGGATTCCCTATTGCATGATATTCAGTTGTATGTTCCGCAATTTGAAACTCTAAATTACTCTTCTAACTTTGTTGGTCATCATTTGACAGTCAGTTTTAAAAATATTGTGTACAGTCTTTCCATTTCAATTTGCTTCTCTGATCACTTTTATGATACAGAATTTTACCATACCATACATTTGGTCGAACAGGAATGATTTTTCTGGCTTTGAAAACTGGTATAGTGATTCCAGATGTCAGAGGTAATTTGGGTGGTATGTCTTCAGTTGTTTCATCATCATAACACAGTTTATTTTTATTGTTGGGTTATGATCTTATAGTACCTAAATGAAACATTAACAAAATAAAATACTTCTAGGAGTGGGAGTGACTGCAGTATGAACGTTGGCTTTATGAATTCTGTCAAGAACTCATTATATTTTACAAAGTATTTCAGCATGCTACTTGTACAAAGAAAGAAGAAGGTAGAAGAAAAAGGAACAAAGAAAAACTGCAAGAAATAATTTTTAATATCCATGTAAAAAGATGTGACAGTTTTACTTTTGCCTTAGGTATTGATTTTGATGTGAAGTACCTGAAGATGGGAGATGACATTCGCCCATGTCTGTGTGTGTTTGATATATTGCTGTGTAATGGGCAAGTACTTACCAATAAGCCACTGTGTGAGCGACTCCATTTCCTAGAGAGTCTCTTCACACCTTCTGAGGGGATCATCATGTACACAGAACAGAAGAAAGTGACAACTGGGCAAGAAGTAATGGATGAACTAAATTTGGCAATTGATAAGAGGTTGGAAGGAATTATACTTAAAGATCCAACATCAGTTTATAAACCTAATGCAAGGAAAGGAGGCTGGTACAAAATCAAACCAGAGGTAGGCTGCCATATTTCATAGTAAAAAGTAAATGTAAAGCTAACCCTGTAACAGGCCGTGACGGCCCATAGGGTTGTGAGATGTTTAGGGTCCTGCATTGTCTAGACAATCGGCTCAAAGATGATGGTAAGGTTGTTGGCCTTACACGCTGGCCACGCTTTACTCCCAGGAAAATTATTTAATTAATACCTGGTACTCATTTCTGTTAGAGGCTGAGTGAACCCCAGGGCCATTGTGAGGCTGGAAGGATTAGGTCAATTGAAAAAAAAAACAATGGCTTCATTGGGACTTGAACCCGCGACCTTCTGGCTTGTAGCATAGTGCCTCAACGAACTATGTTACCGTATGCCTGCCATATGTGATAGTAGGCTTATGATATGTGACAAATAACTGGACTGATTCTGTTAAAAATATATATGTAATTTGTCGATAACATTTAGTAAGCATGGTTGCTTTCAGAGTACACTAATGATTATACTGTATATGTATCCCGTTGACTCTGCTGTGCCTGGAAACATTGCTGGAAGTAATTCTTCTGAAAGGTACTTCAGTAATGTTTCCATATTGCTTTGATCATCTTCAGGTAATTCAAAATGAAACCCTCATATAACAAGTTTCTTAATTCTGAGAATATGACAAATTGCACAGGGCCAAATCAGGAAAATATGGTGAATGTTCTGAGACTTTTTGCCAATATTGGTTTAATAAATATGCTCTTTAGGAAGATGCATTGTCATGATGCAAAATTCACTTCTCCAAAAAAAAAAATTGCATGTGTTGACCGATATGTTACTGCGTATGTTCCAAATTTTGAAAGTAGCATGCTTGTTTCCCTGTTTCTTTTGGGGAAGCAAATTCATAATGGATAATTCCTTTGTTGTTGATGATGCAGGTCAGTATGGTTTTGACGTTTCATTTTTAGGTTCACTTTTTTGCCTTAGAAACCAAATTTTTTCTCCTTTGGAGACCTTTGAATTTTGTGTCTGGATAATACTGGAGGACCCTAAGACAGTCACTGTTTTTCACAAAAGGTCAGCTTATCCAGTAATATTGTTGAGAGGTTTGAGTGAACGTTGTTGAGTACATTTGTAGATCTTTGGTGTAAGGCAGCAGATGTAAATAAATTTGTCTTTCCTTCACTGATCTGTTATTGTTTTTTCTCAGTACACAGAGGGGTTAATGGACCATGTGGATCTTATTATTATGGGTGGTTACTTTGGAGAAGGACGGAGGAAGGGCATCAGTCACTTCCTTCTTGGAGCTGCTGTGCCCCCAGCTACTGAAGGTCAGTGAATGTGTGTGTGAATGTGGTTATCATACAATTCTTAAGAGATTTTAACTCTTGACCAAATATCAGTGTATTCATCATAGTGTTGAAACATGATGGAACAATACTAAGAGCATGTAGCAAGATGATGCCAATATACCAACATTTATAAGTGATCAAATGCGCTGAAGTCTATTGGATTGGAAGTTCTCACAGCAGTGGTTGCAAAGAGTTCTATCTTCTAGGATATAACACCATATAGTCCAATGAGAGTCAACGGCCATTTTGGAGGAACATATTGGTTCTGCCTGTTATACTTGCTTAATGCTGGTTTTTTGCTTGATTTACAGTTCAACTCTTAAGATGAAAGCAATATCCTCCTCCAAAATGGCAGTTGGCTTTCATCACATGACATGGCATTATGTCTGAGAAGACAGAACTGTTCTTTGAAGTCACTACCTGTCCATATGTACAGTATATAGTGGTCTGAACTTAGTGGTAGTCGTTTCGAAAGGCTTCAGGGTAAATGTCTGTGCTAATTGGATTTGATTGAAGCCTCGTCCAAGATGTTGCTGTGTGCGTACTCATTTTTTCAACTACAGTCATCCCTATATATTTACAGATTTCCTATTTGTTCAGATTTCTAATAATACACTATTATTAATTTTCTTTTTAAAGATTTTCCTGTAGTGCATCTTCACAAGTTCTGCAGTGTTTCTTAACATCTATTCCATGCACAATGTGTCAGTGGTCCTCCTCTTCAGTGTGCTGTCAGGAACATCTCATGAATTTTAGTTTTTCTGCACTCCCTTGCCTCCCAAAAGAAAGATGCATGATAAATGCTGTGTAAATGTTTTTAAGAGAGAAAAGATTAATATATTGTCATGTGTAGGATGGTACACATGATGAAAATAATGGGGTCTAGTTCAGGTGATTGGATTTATTAGCACCTTGGTTAACAATTTCTCTTAATCACATTTAAATACAGCACTATCGCTGATTTGGACACTTTCCAATCACTGGTGCACTTGCACTAGAATTCCCAGTCTTCACTAGTCTTCTGGCAGCAGATATCAACACAGAAACAAGCACTACAAATCACTATGAAGTCTTCTTGCTGTTTCATCTTCAGTCTCTCTGGAACCTTGGAACTAAAATATATTCTGGACTTACTCCTCCAGCTTTTGACTGACTCGTAACTGCCCTTGAACTAACTCATGTCATTGCATTCACTTCCTTTATAAGCACTCTGCACAGACCCCATGGAAGATACCATCTCTATTGTTGCTAATGTTACTGCTTATGCAAAAATATGTTTACCAAGCCATTGCATAGAAATGGGTGGCATAACCCTTTTGTTCCACCACTGCTCAGCACGTACAACTTAGAAAACACAGCCTCATGTATTGTTGTGTGTTGGACCATGTTTACAGAGCTATTGCCTGGCAGTGTGTTGATTAAGTCTGTTACAATATCATTCATATATTCATCACAGCCCATGCCCTTATTAATGAGTTTTGCTGTTTATATTCCTCATGAATATGGAAAAATGCCTGTTTATCCATATACCTAATTGTCACATGTCCATCCTCTTTTTCCAAAATGGCACATCAGAAAAAATTGAAACAAGATGTTCGTCTTAGAGTTACAACCACAGAAAATTTATTAATTTTGCTGTTACGTACACTAGTTCAGAGGTTAATTATTGTAACTGCTACAGTAGGAGCCAGTAATTAATATTGAAGGTGTTTTTTTGGTTGTGAGTAGGATTTTGGGGTACGGAATACCTGTAAATTTTAAGTTGGGTTTTACTTTCACAGGTGGTTTTGATGAATTATCCCAGGTAAGGTGGAGACTGTGTTAGCAGGCTGTAACTCAGAATGACCAGGAGGTCGGCACTCATGCTGCACGTATTCACTCAATCAGAAGGCAAATGATCATTTGTGCTACATGTTTATTAAAGCTATTGTTCTGTAAGCAATAGTTCACTTTCTCAGTGAAGCTAAGGATGGTGTAAATTCAACCACTGGGACTGTTTATATTTTACTGCTGGAATTGCCAAATAACAATTTTTGTGAATTTATCTACTGAGTCCCAAAAACTGAAACAGTTACAGAGTTAAAGACTGAGAAGAATTTGGGAACATACAGAACTCAAGTATATCCAGACTTGATCTCTGAAATTTGCAGAGTATTTAAAGAAGTGTCTCTGCAGAAGGGCATCTCTCTTCAGTTTCATAAACTTTATTAACCTTTAACGTACGGCCTTTTAAATTGCCGGCAGCTCCCTACGGCCGGAATTTAAATCGCCCCAATTGATGATCTTTGCAAACCTTGAGAAAAAAATACATATTTTCCGTTCTATGCAACATAGAAATATGAACTAAAAAGAATCTGAAAGACAAGAGAATTTTCTACATATATGTAAAAGATCAAGTTTTAAAACTGAAAAATAAATCCCCCTGTCTGTGGTTTTCCATAGCCCCTACGCGAAGCTATCGGCAAAAATTAAAAATTCCATAAAAATTGATAGCAGCATGCCAGAATTATGCAGTTTTGGTCTCCCCTGTTCTGGTTACATTCCACACCATGCCAGTGCCGCAGGGTCTAGGCCACTGAGTGTTATGAGAGGAGAGGCTGATTTCATCATGCCTACACGATTTATATACGTTTGCTTCTTTGCTTTCATTCTACTAAACAGGGCCATGTTTGTTTTGTCACTGCAACATAGGCATGCTAGCCTGGGTTCAAATTGTACCTAATAGCGTTGACGAAACAAGGCTCTAAGTGCTATAAGAAATTATTCAAGGGCATATCAACCCATACAGCACTTGTCGTATATCGGCTATGTCGAATAACAAGAAATAGACAGACTATAATCCACTTTCACACGGAAGGAAACAAAAGTGTAATCTTCC